TACCCGTCGGGAACATTGTATTACACAACGCCTGTCTCTTATACACATCTAGATGTGTATAAGAGACAGATCATCAGCAGAGTGCTCAACTGTAATTAAACCAGAGCGAAATAAAACAAAAATAAGAGGTTCAACAGTAGGTTTGATAAGGCATTTTATTACTATTTAGTTTCGTGCTACACGTACATGGTGAAACACTCTTCAGATAAAATTACCTAAACTAATCTAATTAGGTAATTTTATCTGAAGAGTGTTGATAGTATATGCTTCATTTCTTGTAGGCCTTTCTATAGTTGGCATTTGCCAGACTCTGGAGACAATAAAATGTTGATATGTTGTATGCAGTCCAACCGATCTTTATAAGACATAAAATATTGTTTGACATAAAACTCGGGAACGGTTGATTTGATACAAGTTTTTGAATTTATAAAAAACTGAGAGAAAGGTGGAAAGGGGGCGGTTACTCCCCTTTCCCCCAGTTTTTAAATATTAAAAAATCTGATCTCATTAACCGTTCCCGAGTATTTCATCAAACATCATTTTTGTGTGTTAGCAACATTCGTTGTACAACATATCCAGGGCTAGTAATTCGAGGCGAGTGATGCTCTCACGAACCATCACTCACATAAAATCCTCTTCAGGAGTGTGAATTACAGAGCACCTTGTGTATGAAAATCACTCACATTACATCTAGTAAAAACCCCAAATACTGTGGTCATGCCTTCTGCTTGGATGTGTTTTGTGTTGCTTTGAACTTGAATACCACTTTGATGACTGCAGTAGTTTTTATGTGTATACTAACTATTCCACAGAAACTTAAATTTTCCCTTCCCCCAAATAATCACTCGCCTAAAAAAAAATATGTGTGCGTTTTTTTACTCACCAGCCATTTTAAAATAACAAGCCCTGTCTATCAACAAAATGTTTTCCTCAGGAGAATGGCAAAACGAGAACCATCGAATTCAAAGCCAAGATAGTAGAGGGCCACTTGGCACAAAGAACTAATGATTTTATTTATTTACCTGTTTCGTGTTAACGGTTAATAAAAGACGTACATCAGTACCGTATTTTAATGACGCTGAGGTTATGATGGCCGTTGCGCGCTCCATAAGCAAGCTACTTGTAGATATCAATGTGCTAGTAGGCCTACGTTATTATTCAAGAGTTACAACAAATTTGTGAAACTTTGTACAACAGTAATAATATGTGAAATCGTCAAAGAGGATTCATGGAAATGAAGTGGTAACTCTGCAATTTAAAAAGGTCTAAACTTGTATTCAAGAGTGTTGTTTATTACAATATGATTGTATACAGTAATCATACAAATTATACATAGGCCTATATTAGGTGCATGTAATGTTGTGTAGGTTAGGTCTATATGACTAACTGCTGCAAGGTACGAATTATTTAATCCATGAAAAAGTTATTATTTAATGCCTCAATCACGTAAACCTTAAAGCATGGTTGGTATAGGCCTTCTGGATTAGACGTTTAGTGCTTTTGTATTTGAGAAAGGTGCTTATTGGATCATTATACGGCCGCGGTATGTAAAGTACTTATTGCACGAAAGAACCTAAAGTACAAACATGCTTTCTGTGCACTAGGGGCGCTCATACATCAACTTCTCGGTCTAATGTAAATTTTATGTGTGTGTTCTTATCTTCCAAATAGGTCTACCTTCATAATTGTGATATTTTTTTTATTTCGATTATTAAAATTCATTTAAAGTAACATATTGGCAAAATTGCTATGCAAAATATAAAGATACCGGTAATCCGTTTCAGTTTAAAAAAAAAGTTTTTTAGTTCCATTATTAAAATTCATTTAAAATAACATATTGACAAAATTGCTAAGGAAAATAAAGATACCGGTAATTCATTTCTGTTAAAAAAAATAGTCTTCCATTTATTTTTTATATCAACCCAAACCAGTAGGCCAGTCATCACACTGTATTATCCGACTCGATACGAAATTGTAGACCTACCTTCATAATTTTTACATTATTCTAGTTCCATTTAAATGAATTTATAATAACAAATTTCATTAAAATGCCATGGACAAACGATCATACCGGTAATGGGTTTCAGCAAAGAGCATAGAATTGGAAGATGTCCGACTGCCCAGATTTTGTACGTACGCAATGAAACGTAAAAAGTAATACCACGAGGATTATGATAGGGGATCGAATAGGTACATTTTTGAAGGACGCCCTTTACTTCGTGGTATTACATTTTAAGATAGGATTGCGTTCTAACAGAACTCTGAGAGTCGGATCTCTTGCGATTTTATACTCTTTAGCTTGACGTTACAACAAATGGAAAATAAAAAAATACAGTTTTATCATATATTTTTCCATATCAACTAAAAGTTTATTTTTAGTTATTTGATAAAGAAGCTTGGAACATAGATAATTTCAACCGTCATATTTCTTTAAATCATCAGGCGTCCACGGTCCACAATTGGGAAAGTCGGAAGCGGCATTGTTACGGTATTTCCTCATGATCACCAACTTGAACAATCATTGCCATTCCAGTGTGTTGGTTAAATTAAACATCAGTATTAATATCTGTCTCTTATACACATCTAGATGTGTATAAGAGACAGGTTTAATGGCGCTTGGATCACCACAACGCATTCGTGGTTGAGTGGTTATGACGTTCGCCAAGTTCCGAATTGAAGTCTCGATGGCGTATTTTTTTTCTGCAGTACACATAAGCAATATAGATTTCTTTAGCCAAATCAGAACATCATAGAAATCTGATTGGCGGAAGAGATTTATATTGCTTATGATTTCCCAATGCTATTTAAAGATAAAGGATACAATGTCTAGAATTCACATCTCCGTTATAAGCATCGTTCGTATGCAATATCCTGTAGTTCAAATATTTCAATCAAAGGTGAAGATCATAAAAAACCCATATAATGACTACAACACCATCATCAACAACTAGAACGATTAATAATGACTATTAACAATGACAATTAAATTTATTTTGGTATGAAATTGGCAATGGAAATGGCAATAATAGCGATAAGCATAATGATGGTAACAACAACAACAACAATAATAATAATAATGAAAATGATGATGATGATATCAAATAATAATAATAATAATAAATTATTATTATAGGAAAAATAATAATAATAGCAATAACAACAATAATAAACAATCACAATAATAAGCATTAACACTAACCACCTTTGCATTTTATTTCTATTTAGTTATACATCATATCGTTTGTACAACAGTACAGCTGTTTAATCAAAAGACTGTCTTTGGCTGTGTTCTAAATTTGTATAGTGCTACTCTCTACAAATCCTTAATGTCCAATGCGTCTATAACTATTGCAGCCATATTTAGGTTAACAAACAAGAAATGTTAGCATAAAGTTGGTTGTTTGGATACTAGCGATTAACACAGCATACTAATATAAAAATATAATAGGCCTATCATTATTATCATCGTTATAATGTTTATTGATCAAAGAATTCTATCTAAGCTTAATCCAGAAGCGGTTTGTCGCAGCGGGAACGGTTTGGTTTTCCAACATCGAGGTCGGGGTTTCAATCCGTCGCTGTGCATACATGTGTCCTTGAGCAAAACATATCTGCATTGCTTTTCTCCACCCAGGAGTATAAATGGGTACCTGGTGGGGTTGCCCGCTCCTGCGCTGATTACCAGCAGCAACACTTAGCATGTGGACCCAATGACTAGGGAAAAGAACTGCGCTTTAAAACCGCAATGAAGAGCCTGCGCATAATAAATGGCCCAACGATGAAATGTCTTAAATTCAGAATGATAAACAAAATAATACGGCGTTTAATATCATAAAACAAATATCAGTTATCTTGCTACCATAATGTGATTGTAGTAGGCTAGTAGTAGTCATCATGTTAATGAGGATGGTAATTACAAAAACTTTACTGATGATGAGGGTGGTGGTAAAAATGCTGATGTTGATGATTATGATTAGGATGATGATAATGATGGTGAAGTAATGTTGACGTAAATGGTCCTCACACAATACCATTACTAATGATAATGATGATGATGATGATGATAAAGGTAATTATAATAAAGATGATAATGACGATGATGATATTGGTGGTGATGATGATGATAAGGATGCTGCTGATGATGATCACATTTGTAAACATTTAATTGCTCTTTTTAATGGTGCTTCTTTGATATTTGATTGTTAAATAACGAGACAAATTCTGAAATGAAACAACATCGTTCAAATGGCCATGGATCCTTCGTTTTAGAATCTAAACACTGTTTTATATTGTCAATTACCGTAAATGCTCGAAAAAGTGCTGCGGCGCTTATAAATTTTTTGAGGCTTTAGTGCAGTGCTTATTCGAGAGCGGACGTGCTTATAAAAGAATATTGGCGTGCCGCTTTCCATGCCTGTTCCCATGTTACCTATATCACGTATTTTAGTAGTTCAGTAGGTCTGTCGTAGGTTCTACGTCATCGTATATGAACATTTATAAAGAAATGCTTGTGTCTCCATTGTGTTATTTATTTAATTTAACACTGTATACATGGTATTTAAAACCATGTTTTTTAAGGTGTTTAATTACACACAGAGTATATGATTGTATACTCTCGATTGGGCACCGCTGAGCGTCTTCCAAAGCGCCGCTTAGCGAAAAATATTAGGTTTGGTGCGACGCTTATTCGAAAACGGCGCTTATTCGAACATACGGTATTCATACTAAGATAGTTCCTTCCATGGACTCATTGTACAGTTTATTACCTTTGCCATGTTTATTGGAGCAAACAAAGTTTT